TTCCATGCTTCATGGGCTGTATTGACTCCGACTAATTGGGTGACTAGGCTGGGAGAGAGGGAGCTCACAATCCAGCTGAGTACAATTTGGTCTTTGGTGTACCACTCATCAAAGGTGGCGTCTGATTCAGGAGGAGGTGGGATGCTGCCATCAATGTGATGTGCAAGCTTGTATCCTCTTAATAACGGTAGGAGTTGTGTCTTCTATAGGAGGTAATTTGCTGAGGTGAGTTTGATGGGTAATTGGGGTGTGATGTTGGGGTAATTTGTGTTTGTGGTTTGCTGGGTTTGACGAGGGACCAAGGGTTGGGCAGTAGCAGAATTAGTTTCAGAGTCTGCCATGGATCAGTTGCAGAGTTTTGTTTGATTTCGAAAAACAGAGACTGGTATGTGACTGAAAGGAGCTGCGGTTTGGCAACTCACGTCCACATCAAAATTATTTTTTTTTACTGCTGCTATTGCAAGTTAAAAAAAATATTCAGCCTGCAAAATCATGCCGGTCAAGGCTACAAACTAGTTTGTTACCGTGATTCTTCACTGCTGCAGAAATATCCCTTTTTCGCTGACTTTTTCCAAGCTATAAGATCACGCCACTACTGCAAGCTAGGTACACGAGGATCTGTTTAATGGCTGGGTTTTTAAACCTTTTATAGTAGCTCTGATACCATGTGAGATTTGATTAATGATTCCACTCTTATCATATTATTCATTCAGCATATATTTATAGGAGTTACAGAGTCCTAGTCAATTACAAGACTAGAGTTCCTATTTACAGAGAATTCCTATTGCAGAGACTTTTAGTTTGCATATAGAGTTGTTATAACTAGAGACACTACAAGGGAAGGATAATTACAAGAGAGAAGGATAAATGTAAGTGATGTTTATCCTTTATTATTATCCATATCCTTATCAGATAAATCAGGCTCTACATGCTCTATTAATATACCATCGTCCATGCTATGGTACTTAATCATATTCAAGCATTCAAATGCATTGATGGTATTGACCTTCTCCTTTGGGTTTGCTTCTGCTTAGGGAAGAGCCTTTATAATGTCATTTCTGCAAGTATTTTCTGGAACAGCTGTAGTAACCCGATTATCATCCATTATTTTTATGGTCGATTGCCCACTGCCTATCACTATGGAATTTTTTCTTTTCAATCCTCCTTTTTTCCTTTATCAACTAAGTTTGGGATTTATGTGTCACTGCCATGTCTACCAGCAGTGACTGTATCAATTCTGTCTGCATGAAATCATGTTCCACATGCTCTACCATAATTTCAATTCCTTTATTGGCAATGTGATGGGACGTCGTAAAAACCTGTTGATTTTTTGTAGTATCATCTATCCTCGCTGTATTATTGTTGGACTTTTGTTTCTAGATAGCCTGCCATGCTTGCTTCTACTGGGGTTCCATGGGAGGGACTACGTTAGTAGCCGATTGCATTTGTTGAGATTTTTGGCTAGCCAAAGGAACGAGTTTCCTGCATGTAGCCTTTGCATGCCCCTATAGCTTGCAATGTCCACAATATGCATTATTAGACTCCACTAAGATTTGTTGCCAGAATCCATTCGTCTTCTATAAAAACCCTAGCATACATGGGATGGGAACCATTCTTGGTTTTATAATCAGCACATAAAAAACTACCGAAAGGCCTTACTATTTCCTGAAGGAAGGCTGCTGGAAAGAAAGATAGGGGAAGGCTTGGTAGTCTAACCCAAATCGCTGCATTTGATGTTTCATAATTGGTTCTGAAATTCTCGTCCCACTTGAACAATCGGAAGCTAAAGCTTTCAATGGTATGATATTAGCAGGACCATGCCTTAAATAAAGTCCTCTTTTGAGTGTAGCCATATTAGTGCATGCCTTGGATCTATTAATCCAATCATCGGTGTAGTCTGCATTCCCGTTTTCAAACATATATGTGTGTGGTAGGCCAAATAAGCATATTCGCACCATAAAACTTTTTGATAACTACGTTCATTTTAATAATGTATGTAGATTTAAGAATTAGTACTGTTAAAGGTATGATTGAGTTGTTATTTTTTTTTTTTTCAAAAAAAGGTTTTTGGGCTCCGGTTTATCCAAATCTATGCTATTTTTCCTAAGAATGTTATATAGCTAATTAGCTAGGATAAATTGCCATTATTCGTTCTTTTTTTCATTTACGAATTTTTTTTTTTTTTTGGGTTCGTTAATTAAGTCAATTTGGAATACTAAATGATTTCATTATGGATATATAACAACTAATTTTCTTTAGCATTTTTTTTATTTCGATCCTTCACCTCTTTATTTCTTTTCAATTGTGCCCTCAATTGAACTTTCTCAGTCTTTTTTCTTTTACTTCTTTCAATTCAATCAATTTCATCCCCAATTAAAATCATTTGCTTCTTATCCTTTTCAATTACACCCCTCGATCTAGCTTCTCTTTAGTCAATGACATTTTCTTGCATTCAAACTTACTCAAAAATCAAAATAAAGAATATGTTAATTATAATATTCAAGGTATCTGACTAACCACTTGAGAAAAAAAAAAGGTAGGAACAGACTTGAATTGAGTTTATTTGATTTTTCAAACCCATTATTGCACAAACCCACTCTACTTGGGCTGCCTACTCGTATAAACCCATTAACGGTGTTAATGGTCTAACTCCTATGGGTTTGAATTGGTTTTAATTTTAAAAGCTTCCTTGCTAAAATGAAAAGAAGTACATTTTGTGTTTTCATAAATTTCATCATATATATATATTTATTTTTTCCAAGTTAGCAACCAAGCAGGGGTCGGTGCCAAATCAGCAGCTGCTGGAATCCAATCATAAGTTTCTGGTTTTCCTTCGCATTTAAGACCTAAAGAGGCATCGCAACTTCTTTGCTATAGAATCTGATGCTATTTGTGTGTATTGATGTTGTTTTCTTACTCCTACTGGACATAACTGTTGAAGAATATGACGGATTGTGATGGGTGCAGGAAGGGCTCTTTCCTTGCAAAGCTACACTTGGTCAAGTTTCCATTACGGCTTAAATCGCATTTTAAGAGAAAGGTGTATTAAGCAAATTTACTACCAAATTACTCGCTCTCCTTGTAATTATAATGCATGACGTTTATCTCAATTCTATGACCTCTATATGATCAGAGGCCTATCTTTCTTAGTTAAGTGCGAGTGAGGTGGAAGGGCAGCTGGAAAACTAGTCCTTGATCTAATTCTGAGACATTGATTCGACCCAGGATGCTTGCACTGTCTACTTCACTCTAAATTCATGGCTATTTTCTAAAGTCCATAGGTTCATGAGTCTGACTCTAAGAATGCATCTCCAATTGATATATAAAACTTCTTCAAGTACTGATCGGATTTACAAAGATGGACATATCATTTTGTGGATGAGTGACAAGTTTTATAAGGGGTTCAATCACAAAGAAAGAATGTGTTCAGAAACATAATTGCAAAGAAGTGCCATGAACAAACTGGATAACTCTGAAAACTTGAAGAAAAAGAACCTAATAGCCAATTCCCATCTGTGAAAGCGACCAGAATCTGGAACATTTTACTTTGAAGGCATCTTACACACTTGCTCTCGTGAATTCAATTTGATCCATGTTTGTGCCTGACAAGAAAGAACTCGCAGTCACATCATGTTGAACCATCAAAGCATTTCAGTGAGGAAGAAATTAATTGATCACAGTAACGCAAACATCAACCTCTTCTCTATTCGGTCAAATTGATCCTCATCCAATATTAATATCATAGATGTAGCCCTGTAAAAGCCAATTTTCAACCTCTTCGTTTGTATTTGGTAGAATTGATCCTCATCCAATATACAATTAATGAGTTGATCCAACTGATTCATATTAAATGGTTGCCAAGTGGTACCATGTCTTCTTCACTTGACCAAGCAGTCTTTTAATTTTCCTTTCTCAGAAGCTAGAAATTTTCTCTTGAATTTTATGGTTCTATTTTGAAGGGTAGAGTGTAGCTATTTATGATAATAACCGCAAATGACTAGATGTTGTAATTCATTTAAGTTTGTCAAAAAAAAAAACCCACAAAATTAAGTGATATTTAAGGCATATTTTCAACAAACCCACGATAAAAATTCAAGCGATTTTGGTTTGAAGAACAAACATACAAGAAATCTTGTGATAGCATTGAAACAAAAACCCCACTATAAATTACGAGGATGCAGAAATAGAATAAAACTTTGCATGATATGTAATAATTTTCTATATTAGCAATTTAGATATTTTAGTTCTGGATATGTTGAGTTTAAACTTGATTGACGTGTACAAGTGGAAGATTATCCCTGTGTCAATAAAACTTTAATTTGAATGTTGTGTGTCTTAAGCAAATTTACTACCAAATTACTGCCTCTCCTTGTAATTATAATGCATGGCGTCTGAATCAGAGGCCTATCTTTCTTAATTACAAAGCACAAATTAACTGCGAGTGAGGTGGAAGGGCAGCTGTAAAGACTCCATAGTCGACTGGCATTCCAGGAAAACCCTACCCTCAATCAAGTGTAAACACCATGAAGCCTTTGTCCCAAGCTAAATTTACTTATTTAAGTCTAGTTATACTATCCCTCTCCAATCGGATAGGCTAGGTCTGTAGTGTTATGGTCATCTTAAAAGGTTTAATCTATCAGTCTGATGAGTTAATGACTAATCTAAAGACAAAACATCCATATTTAAGTTGTTTACCCACAAGGATTCAAGTGCACGTGCTAAATTTACTTGTTTAAGTTTTTTGAGAGAAGTTCTCACATTGAATGAGAATCCTTTAGATTGTTAAGCACAAATCTTTGAAATTGTAAATCCCAGTGATCATTGTAAGTTATCAGGAGCTATTTATGATAATAACCGCAAATGAGTAGATGTTGTAATTCTTACAACTTTGTCAAAAAAAAAAAAAAAAAAACCATTAACTTAAGTGATATTTAAGGCATATTTTCAACAAACCCACGATAAAATTTTAAGCTATTTTGGTTTGAAGAAGAAACATACCAATGTTGCCTGAGCCTTCCAAGGCTACGGATCCTGAGCAGCTATTTCTATTAGTTGGGCTGAATGTTACGAAGGAGAAATCTATCACGCTTGCACTAGATGTCAACAATGTATATGTGGTGGGTTATCTTGATGCTTATCAATATAAATATCGAGCTCATGTCTTTTCCGATGCTTCTAAGATTGCAAAGGATTCTCTTTGGAAAGAGGCAAAAGAACGCTTACCTATTATCACTGCAACAGTAAATTTAATTAGCAACAGTCTAGATCGTCGCTAAATGTAAAAAAACTATCACAAAAATGATTCTATGATGCTTTAGCGACGGTCAAAAGACCATCACTAAAATGCTCGTCGTTAAATTTTTGCGATGGTTTATCGACCATTGCCAATTTAGCGAGGGACAAAACCATTGCAAAAAAAAAATTCGTTGTTAAATATGATTGTAAATCCTTGCAATATTTGTGATGGTCTTGTAAACCAATGGTAAGTCCATCGCTAAATAATGACGGACTTGCAACGGTCCTATGACCATTGCAAATTGGTTTGTTTTTAGACCGTCGCTAAGGCCATCACTAATTGTTTAATTATATTTTTTTTCGCCCATATAAAATTAACTAAAATTAACAATTTTTAAATAACAAAATCTACTAAAATATCTTAAACATAATATTTTAAAATTTCAAATATATTATTATAAATTGTATTAAAACGTCACTAAATATTATTCGATTATTAAATAACCGAAAACGAGTACAAAGGTTGCGGTTAATATAAGAAAACGTGAAAGCTAAGAGAAATTAATGGCTAGGATCACTCGGAGGTCGGGTGGAGTCGTCGTCGGTCTAAGGAATGACGGATGAACTACCACTATGGTGAAAATGCTGCATGAACATCCGCTACATTTGTGACATCATCGTAAATTGCTATCAACTATACTCTCTCAACTCATTTGTTGTACCCAACAATGATGTGACACGATCCTCTAGCATGTTGACGATACCCGTAGGTTATGGATATCTATCGTATTTATAGATGTTTGATCTTATACTTCCTTAAGTTGTGCCTCGCCGGCAGCATTAAATCGAGAAGTAGCAAAGCTTGAGGTCGTATTGACGTTAGATTAATAGTGAGATGCATGTGACCCGAGTCTATACATCCTCTTCTTCCTACTATCTCCTCCACCAACGGCCCTCCGAAATATCTCATTAATGTTGGCTCCAATTGCTTCGGTCCCTCTCTACTGTCGGTTAGCAACCTCTTCCTCATTTATTAATCTTTGTACGATCTCCTACATAATTGTGAAGCACATCATATTAAATATGTATGTGAAATAACATTATAAATTAATAAATATGAAATAATGTTATAAACTAATAACTTACACCGATAAGCCTTGATCGTTGATCGACGAAGACAAACCGATCATTAACCTTTCTCTTATGAGTCCTCAAGAAAATATCGTGAGGATAAGGTTCATGACCCAACACATTACGCTTAAACCATAAATATACGTAAATGTATTAAATATACTCAAATGTTTAATTAATTATTTTGGGTATCATTTAAAAAAAATTATATATATATATATATACCATACGTATGGTGTGCTCTTTATGGCTGATTGATCCCCCTTTATGTCTAGAAGGACCGGCTCCGACGCCATCAATCTCGCTCCTACGGTTCCGTGTTGCCATATCGGATGGGGCAACGGACTCGGGTTTTGCCCATTTCGTAGTCTATGCATCCCATATTTCCTGTGAGATGAATGTTGGCTTTGGTTTTTTCCTTAAACAACAAAGAAAGTTGGAATATCGCTTCCGCGAGACTTTCTTATGCTTTCTTAAGCGTGCTCTCGTTCAAATCATCATCCCACTTAAATGATTTACGTAAGAAAAATAATAATTATTATTACTAAATTTATTTGCATATTATTTTGTTTTATTTAATTAAATATTAAATAATGTAATCAATTAATTTTAAAAATTAGTACCTTAAACTCTTCACGAGTAAAAGTCTTTTGTCTCTAGGCTCATTTTCTTGCACATTCATCCGGAAATATGAACATACTCCCGGAATGTCTTAACGATCGTGCAAGAGCAAACATCGAGAGGATACAACCTATAAAAAATAGATAATAAATAAATAAATAAATAAATGAGTACATAATAACGGTAATAAAAAAATATGTCATAAAATTAAGCATAAGCCGTACTCATTGCGATCAACAACAATGACCCTAACTCGCAGGTCGATCATAGATGTGATAGGTTCCGAATTCGATTGACGCGGGACGTTGTGTGGTGGAACATGTTCAAGAATGGAATGGTTGTCTTGATTTGATAATGAAGGCAACGACGACGATGAAGGAAAAGATAAGGGAGGACATGGAGGCCTATAATAAGGAAATGGCCGAGGCTAAGACATGTTAGGCATCGAACGATATGTCGAGGGAACACCAAAAGAGTGGTAAAAAGGCATGTCCGTGGGGGAACCCATCCGACCATGAACGGAATGAGAATGGCGTCCACATCCATGATCACCTGTCGACTCGGTATCCAAACCACAACCCCTACCTCGAGCCATTATGACCTACACATTCATTATTACATTCATTAGTATTGAAATAAAATATTAATTATATAATATATACTAACATATAAGATTCAAATTAATATGAACAATTTGAAATATATTTAAACAACAATAAAACACAAACATATATTTAATTAAATCTTACCTTTAAAAAGTATAAGTTAACTATATAGGCTAACAAAACCATAAACCTAATTTTTTTCTTTTTTGACGAACGGGGATGGTACCCTAGAGATTTATTGAAATAATGTGAAAAATTACAATGGGGGACAAAATCAGCCTAGCCTAATAACTCGGGAGGACAAGGTTGCCTAAACCCTTAATTTCGTACTGCAATTACATAAAATCTATTTGCACTATTTATCAATTGAATATAAAATACAATATAACATAATCTAATAGGATATACCATATTATCGCTAATTAGTATCATGATCATCATTATCACATTCTTCATCTAAGTTTTCCTCAACATCGGTTTCAAACTCAAATTCATTCGAAGATTAATTTCACCCCCTTTCAAATCTAATAACGCTCTCGTAAGATCAATCAATGGCTGACCTTCATCATCATCAATGTGGATGACATTATGTTGGCCTTCCATTTCATTTTCTTGAAAGGGTTCTTGGTCAACGATAACGGACGATTCTAGCATATCCACCATCGGCCTTGCTTTGACCTTACATACTATCAACCAATCACGTCTTATGCGTTTACATATAGAATATGTTACATAATACACCTTATGCGCTTGTGATGCTAGTATGAAGGGATCGGATCTATTTGAATACTCGCGACTATGAACCTCGACTAGTCCATAATGATCATGAAATCTTGTATCAATGCTAGGTGTAGTATCATACCAATCACATTTGAACAAAATGGTTTTCTTTATTGGTAAGGCTAGATACTCAAGTTCGAGTATGTCAATCAACCTACCGTTATAGTCATTTTTTATCACACCATAGCTAACTCCTTTTACACACACTCTACTACACATTGATGCTCTCTCCGAACCACGAACATCGGTGTGAAACTTATACCCGATTACAATGTACCTCGTATACGACGTAGCTCGTTCACAATGGTCCTTTTGCCGGATCTTTAATGTAATGATCTGTTACAATATTAGGTTGTGCTTGACTTACTTGTAAGGACCGGATCAATTATAAGTTAATGTTATTATAAAATTTGATAAAATCATTTTATGAATAATTAACAATAATATTTACTTTCTAATACTCACATATTGATGGAACCATGATGCAAATTCATTTTGAAGTCAAAAATCAACCTCATCTTTCAATATGTTAGGATCACTTTCATACAATTGCTCGATAAAATATCCGACGAAGAAAAATATTATTATTATATGTTTTAAAAATGAATGATACTTAATGAATAAATGTATAGCAATATTTGACGAGTTATAGCACTTACTCCGTGTAAGGTGTCACCTCATTACGGTTCAACAAAATGTAGTTATGCGATGTATTTTTTCTTGATCTTTCGGAACATGTGATCTTGCTCGACCAAGAGGTTTACCTTTAGGTTTGAATATTGTAAGCATGCTTTTAATATCGTCATTTGGTTCTCGATCACACTCAAATTTTCTAGGCATTTTTCGATGTGTAGTGCGTACATGAGGCTCGAAGTAATATGAACGGAACATTGAAGCTTCCTCAACTAAATATATGTTGCATATTGACCCTTCAACTACGGCTTTATTCTTAACATTATTTTTTAATTTGCAAAGGTACCTACAATAATATTGTGAGTGCATTATACTTAACAAATAATTTAAAGAGTTATTTAATAACGGATGTCAAAAAATTAAAAAAAATTACCTTTCAAATGGATACATCCATCGATATTGTACGAGTCCTACTATTTTTGCTTCATACGTCAAGTGTACAAGAAGATGCTCCATGGAGTCGAAAAAACTAGGTGAGAAAATACGATCTAATTTGCACAAGATTATTGGTATATCTTTCTCAAGACGGGTCATATCTTCAACCTTAATCATAGTAGATGTCAATTCCTTAAAGAATAAGCTAAGCTCGGTTAGTGATTGTCATACATTTATTGATAACATATCACAAAATGCGATAGGTATTAGTCTTTGCATAAATACACGACAGTCATGACTTTTCATGCCATGTAATAAGAGGTTATTCATATCGACACATCTTGCCAAGTTAGAGATATATCCATCTAAAAACTTTAGTTGTTTAATCCATTCTAGTAATTATTTTTCTTTTTTGTTTGTCCGAGTGTAACAAGCTTTTAGGTATTTTTTAGAGTTTTCATCAATTTCTAATTCGAGCCGCCGACAATATAGCTTTAAGTCTTCTCTAAAATTTGCATTGTCTTTTTTTTTGGCACATTCATAATTGTATTAAACACATTGTCGAAGATATTTTTTTCAATGTGCATCACATCCAAATTATGCCGAATTAGATTAGAACTCAAATAAGGTAGGTCCTATAATATACTAAGTTTTTTCCAACCGCAATATTTAGAAACATTATTGTTATACTCATCGGATCCCTCTTTTGTTACTTTCAACAACCCTCAATGGTTTAATTCTTGCAAAATGTCAATTCCGGACTTGAGCGGAGGAGCAATTTACGTAACAACTAAATTTTG